AAATTCCTGTTTCGTTAAATGAAAGATATTTTAATAATTTTTATTGTTATAATTTGTCGGTGATAAGACATATCTTTTTAACGCTGTCATAAATCTAATTCTTCGTATGAATTAGATTCAAATTTTTGTCTTCTCAAGTCATTTGAAAATTATGGGACATAAAAATACGGTCGTTGAATTCATCTCAATATCAGTTATGTTGGGGTGAATGACCGTGAAAGAGAAAAAATATATACCAGTTCCACTTCCAAAAGAGTGACCTTGGTTTTATTACTCATTTCTTAATTTTATTATTCAATTTTACATACTGCAGTTTGTATCTGTCGTCAAATATAGTAACTTTTCTTTGAAACAGTTTTTGATTACGTTAACAAAAGTGCCTGAAAAATTGTGTTAAAATGAATAAATTTAATAAATTGTCTGTATGTATATAAATAAATGTATGTATATAATATAAAATATGTACGTATATAAAATACGAAATACACAAAATATGTATGTATGTAAAATATGAATATAATATATATGCACATGTATATATATATATATATATTATAAGGGTATGGTTGTGCTTTATCCTTATCGTTCATGCATAATTTTATAAAATTAAAGTTAAAATAGTACAAGATAAAGTTCTATAGGGAATGTAGACATACATCAATCAATAGAACAAAAAAAAAAAAGAAAAAAATATGTGTATAGTATATATATCATTCTATTTAAGAAAGTAGAGGTAATCTTGAAGTCCACTACCTGCAAAATCATTGCTATCATAATTTTAAAATAAAATTTAATAAAATTTCCTCATGTCACTAAAACTGATCAAGTTGTGTGGTTCATCCTATATATATATATATATACACATATACACATTATAAATATTGAAACGTCTGAAAATATGCATAAAACATCAATTTATATTGTTAAATATTAATTCATACTGATTTATCACTGTAATATTTGTATAATTAAATTATATAATAAATAGACTGCGGATGTTTATGAGAATCTTGAACAAAAAGAATTTGAAAGTGTACGAAATCGGTTGAGATAGAAAAAAATGTCTAAAATATCCATAGTATAATACTCGTTGTAACGTTTAACGAAACATATTCCGGCACAAGTTCAACATTTTTAATTGTTCACAGAAAAATATGAATTTGCATGAAAGCAGAGTAATTTCAATGGCTGTTTATTACATATATATATATATATTTTTTTTTCGTTAAATATACTCGCACGTGTGTTCTATATTTTTTATAGATCAATTTCAAATTTCCTCAATATTATTCTGTCTCGCTGTACAGCGCTCAAATGTACAACACACATGACGTATCAATTGTAAGAGTTACGCGTGATTAGGTTCAAATACTTTCGTGAGCCCACCGTATCTGCTATACTGCGCAGTAGAGTGATGTTATGAAATCAAACACCCACGCGATCTATGTATGCGTATTTATAAAATAATTTCATATCTATCAGGCCAATCACGCTCGTCACGGATGAATTACTGCACGAACAGCAACCATACGAAGCAAGAACGATGGCCAGTCGGAACAGTTGCAATTCCGTGACGCGTCCTACTTTTCACTTTTCTCACGCGGGACATCTATTTCCGTAAACGCCCGCCGCGAAAACGTTCCAGATCGAGTCTTTGATTTATGGAGGCGCATGGCGAGACAATCACGCGTTGACACGCGACGAATGTAGCTTTCCTCGTCCCTCTTCCGTGACCAGCTGAAATTCATGCTACGTCGTAACGAGAATTTTTCTTTCCCCGACCTATAGACTTGCTTACGATGTTCCGGAAGCAGTTGAAATTTTTAAATTTTGTCACACTGCAATTCGAGTCAGAATTTCCAAGAAGTTACAAAGATACGTTTATAAATAGATATTCAAACTCTGATTTAAATTTATCGGTTTCCTGAAATGAAACGATTGACGCAAGAGTATAAAAAAAAATATTTCAAGTCAAATAGATAGATAAACGCATTTACGCTATCGTGTATAAATAAATTAGACACTCGACGCTATTAAATTGAAAAGATATTTTTGTTATTGAATGTTCCTCTGTTTTTAATTTTCTACGTCTTGCTATAATTGAGGTTGAATGATTCGTTGAATATAATTTGAAACAAGAAACACCTGTATCACTCATGAACTTTCTGCAATGCACATTTCAATCTCATTTATATCTCAATATTAAATAGATGTAAAGACTTACTTAACTGAGAATTCTGTACAAAATTGATCTTCAGTCATGTTATAGTTATTGCTACTTTAGAAACTGTATATATGCTGTAATTAAATTAAGAAAAATTTAATTGAATATTTTATCATTTGCACTAATTTAATGTATTTGTCCAAATATTTATTCAACGTGTATTGACATTGTGGACACGCACATACATTTGAATATGCATTCATCAACATAATTCTCAGTCCAGATATAAAAGTCTAATTTTCCTTTCGCTTATTTCTTACATTGTAACAAACGCTAATAATAATAGTTATATTTGCAAAAGGTAATTGTAATATTATTACATACTTTGCGTGATTTTTTAATTGAAATCATTGGATATACAAAATACAGTTTCACTGTCATCATCATGCATCACTTGTACAACAAAGTTAAGCAATTACATTAAAATACTGAACACTCGTGACACTTTAAGAAACAAAATAGCCACATAATTAACACCAGTGAATATATCCCTATAATAAAAATCTCCATTGGTTGATTCCATGCGCCGATTTTAAATAAAAATGTGGTTTCAGAATGAAATCTCCGAGCTGGAAAGATTAATGGTAGTTTACCTACTAATCACCATTTCTTTCAAGCAAAATATTTTGAAATTGAATAATGTAACTATCATTATCTTACATTTAATCTTTAATCTCTAGCCTTTTCAACCTCATGAATGTTTAGTCCGTAATAAAATATTGTACAATTAATCTTATAATCAATAATAAAATAATTGGTTTATTTATTAGAATTTCAAAAAGTATAACATATTATAACACGTTGAACAAATGTATCAAAAGATAAATGTCTAAAAATATAGCGTATTCTTAATTTGTTATATACTCTTTATTCAATATTACTTACACTTTTAGGCTTTTGATAATCCTCAGCACTCTGAGAGTTAAAGAAATTTTTCCTTCATTTTCTCACTATAATTAAAAGAAAATTTACCTTGTTATCACATTTATTCTGTACTTTAGCAATCACTAAATTTGCAAAATTTATTTTCTACTATTTATTTAGTTTCACGTAAAAGAGTAAAAGAAAATGGTATCTTTAAAGAAAGTTTAGAACACACATGGATATATTCTACTAGTTTCGTTACCAGTAGTATAAATCGTTTTTAGTCAGACCATCGAACAAGAAACATTCCCAAAATAACACCGTTATGTTTAAATACTATTATCTTAATCTTCTGCACAGTAATTGAATTAAAAACAGAATTCGTTACACAAAGTCTTCAATGTTGATACTTAATAATTTCAAAGATACTCAACATTAAAGTTTTTAATAATCACCACTCTGAACTTGTCGCAAAGTAGTGTAATTAATAAAATTTTCTGTGAAACAACTGAACTTTGATGTATGACTTTTGCTTTTTTTTCTTTTTAAATTAAATTAGAGTTTAACAATTAACTTTTATATATAGTATTATTCTTTTTTTCTTAGTATTACTGGTTGTTAACCTCACTACTGTGTAGTAAGAAAGTTCATTTTAACATATGCTATTCAAAAAAAAACTATCTTCATAGAAATTTCACCAATTTTTCCATAGATTTCCCACGTCTTTTTGAAATTAAGTCATCAGAAAGTTAAAACGTTACGTATCCATTCGATCCATTTGTATCCATTTTCATTTGTTTAGAATCATTTGAAATGTAATAATCTCGATATTTACCGACAGCATGGAACAACTCGCACGCGTTTTCTCCAGAGGGAGCTTAGATACGTTTCCAAGATGGAAATAAAAATAGAAATTTGGGATATTTTACGATACGTGAAGAGAAGATTTCTTTCAGAGAGAGGTGGAGGTTTTTTAAAAACAATTTAAAAAGACGATTTTTTTCGCACTATTTCTTTTATTCCATTTAAATAAACAAAATAGTACACGGAATCACGAAAAAAAATGAACAATCGAAATTGTCTCACACACGATATTCTTGATTTTATGGTCTTTATACGATCATAGCATTGTCTTTAATACTCTTCTTGATACGTTGCTTACGATATTCAATAAATAAATAATACCATAAATAAATAAATAAATAAATAAATAATACCATGAATAAATAAATAAATTAATAAATTAATAAATAAGTAAATAAATAACTTATAGAAAATGTACAATGAAGAACACATGATTATTACACGAAACCTTGGTTGCGATGAAACGAATCGATATTTTCGTGAAAAAAATTATTAACTTTAACAATATCGTTAATATTACATTATCTCTCTATCTCTCTTTCTGTCACTCTTGTTCTTTCTTAGATGCGTCAATGAATTAATAACAACAGTGCTAACATTAAGTAACTCTATAAAACAATAAATAAAATAAATCACAACTTAAATTACAATAAATTAAACGATGTCTTGCGCGAGATATTGTGAAAGATTTCTCACTCAAAAGTTTATTTTACACGTTATGTGTATTTTAAAGACAAAAAATGTATTTTCAATAGGTAGCAGTTTCTAAATCTCTTCGAAATCACTTCTACTCAACTTTTCTTTCCCAGAATTTCTTTTCTGTTCTTACATTGCAATTTATTTTTCTCTTTTCTCTTCTTTCGAAGAATGACGTCGATTTAGAGGAAATGATTATTTAAAAGAGCTTTCTTTGATGAGATTTTGTGAACTGATCGAGTCTTTCTTCTTTAATCAAAAAAAGAAAAAAGAATATTTAATATTTAGAAAAAGTATTTAGTAACTGCTATATCACAAAAATGATAAAGAATTGTTAAAAATGTAATGGACGATGTTTGAAAATACGCAGTGTATCGACCTTTTTACTAATACATTTTTCATAGTGGTTCAATATCACTTATAGTTTTGTCTGACTTTTTATAAAGTTATCATTTCAATACTGAGAATGTTTCATGGATAGACCACGGATGTTTATAAAGTTTCATACTTTTACGAATACAAAACGTTTTTCATACCAAACGAAGACGGTTGAAGAAATGATAGAGAAAATGACTTTACTTATTAAACATTGAAGGAAGCATCGTACTTCAAATATACATTAATAATGTATTTTTGCATTTTTCTCGCAAGTTTTCCATAAAAACGCACAAAAATCCATAGTCTACTCATGAAACGTGAAACCACTGTATACGTCATAACTTAAAAAGATCTAACGAAACCTAAGATTAAAAATTGAGAGATCGTGAAATATCCATTTTCCAGTTACAAAGATCACTCGTCCTTCGTCATCCACGACTATTCTTCTTCGGAAGAAATAAAAATAAAACAAAGAAACAGATCTAAGACATACATATTTCCTTACACGCAACGTTACAAAAAAAGAAAAAAGTAGCGGATCCAGTCTGACAGAAAATACGGTCAATAAATAATAAATAATAAATAGAGCTACTTAAATCGATACTACGTTAAATTACCATATTGTTAAGTTGTAATAAATAAATAAATAAATGTAGCAAAAATCAAAGGGAACTTTAGCAAATTGGCTAAACATTTTCTTGGAATTGAACACGATCCTTCGGGATTTTTCCCATAATTTCTTCCTTGCAGCCAAAACGTATCATTCGTATCTTATATTTTTCCTTCTTTAGTATAATTACTCGGTATCTTATAAGTTTGTTTAAAGAGTTTAAGCTCGGACGGAAGACGGTCCGTAACACTGTTCAGGCGACTTTTAGAGTCGAGAGACCGTATGTACAATAATATTTCTTTATCAATTCTCCTTTCTTCATCTCTTTCCCCAGCGTTGTCCCTTCCTGTTCTCCTGTGTCTTGTCTCTTCCTTTTGTTTCTCTTCTTCTAATTGCTTTTCGTTCTCTCGGCTCTGTTTCTGCGTTCGCCTTGTACCTCAGCGCGATTATTTTTGTAGAATTAAATAAACGAATACTTGTTGTCGACATTTTGTTGGATCTCTTTCAACTTCTGCAATTCAAAAAGAAAAAAAAAAAAAAAAAAAAAAGAACATTCGTGATTAATAAACCAAGTTTTTTTAGCTGAAAAAAGTGAACGATGCTTATTTACAAAAATAACTTGGTTAATTTTTATTATCATCTCTTTCTAAAGTAAACTTCTATTCTTCGGTGGCGATAAAATATTTTCTTTTAATTATACTTTGAACAAGATTCCTTTTCCTTAAAGGAGAATGGCACCTTGTTGCTATAGTTTATTTTTCAGTAAAATTATTCTTGGTTCCAAAATTTCGTTTCATTTATTGTCTCTAAACTGTGAATTTAACAATTTCCGTTTAAATGATTCATGTTGTTAATTTTCTTCAACTTATATTGGAAATAAATGGAAAGAAATTCTTGTTATCTCTTTTTCTGTTTGGATCAGAAACGGGCAAAATGTAATCTCATTAATAATCAATGATTATGATTAATGTGAAATCATGATTATTAAATAATCAATAATCATTGATCATAGAATGATTGTATGATTGTATCAGTAGTTTACTTGTGTTAACAACACTGTGTACAGTGAAACTATATATTTTATCAGGATTTGTTGCAAATATTCAAAAAATTTTCCATCAACTACAATTAAAAGTCTCATCTACGTGATTTTTGAATTGTTCGGATGCAACTTTCTTTCATCTTTCTCTATTTAATAATAAATTTGCAAATGTTTAAGATTCTTCATTATAGGCTCAACAATACAGATATTATTATACAGAAAAAGAATAGATTCTATAGTACTGTAGACATTCTATACATGTACACGTAGATTCTACAGTACTGTGATCTATTACTGAGTTTACTATTTAAATTGTAAGCGGTTTTCACATTGCAATTATATGCCAAACTTAATGTTAATAATAATATTTATAGTGAATAGCACAATCTCGAGTTAAAAATCTCAAGTACTCTAATAATAATATTTATAGTGAATAGTACTCTAATAATAATATTTATAGTGAAAGTATAAACTAACCATTTAATAATTAAGAAATTATTGATTAATGATTATAGATTAGCAAAGTTTCATCAAGATTTATTTTAACAATGATTGAAATTATTATGATTACTGCCCAACTCTGATTTGAAATCAATTCAAAGTTTGAAGAAACTGAAGCTTCTTTGAAATCAATTTTCACACTGAAGCATTGTATAAGTATCTTAAAATAATTATCTATTTATATATATGTTAATTCCTCTTTCAAATTATACTTTGTATTTTTGAAAGATGAAAGGGAACGTTGGAAGAAAAAAATGATATTGTACAGTGAAAAGAAAAGGAAAGTAATATAAATTATACACGAGAAACATTCTGCAATAAAGTTAATGACCGACATTAACTTTATTACACGCGTGCCAGCGAAACCGTTCCATTTTTCTTCATAGCAAATTATCGTTAACCTTATGGTATCTAAAAAAAAATCGGAATTACGCGAGAATCATGATAGATTGCTTCGTGACATGGACTTATATAACTGCGTAGAAGTACTCTTGCACGATATTTCGATAACTTAATAAATAATATTCTCGGGAACATAATTTATTATAATCATAAGAAATGAACGTGTTTCAGAAAATTTTAAGATGAATGTGGAATTCACGGGATTTTGACATTCAAATGTGTTATCGTTCACAAAGTTGTTCCTCTTGAGTGACCGTCAAAAGATTTTAGTTAGTCGGTTACTTGTTATTAAAAATTATGTTAACAACATAACCAGGTAAAAATTGGTTAAATTTTATTGACGAGAGGAACCACTTCACCAATTTTTAAAGTATACAAGTTGTTCATAGCGTTTTCTCTGTAAATGGTGAGTATGAAGAGAAAAACATGGTACTATTCTTTATAAACAACATGACAGTGTACAAAATTATTTTTTATTTTGCACTGTATTTTTATATTTTTTTTTTTTTAGAAATGAAGAGAATTTCCAATTTTTTAAATTCACATATTCTACATATTTTCTTATATACGAAAGTGTCAGTCAAAATTCAATCATCTATCTCAAAATGATCTTCAAAATCAAATAAAATAAAAATTTCGAATATTTTATAAAAATATTTTTTACATATTAGGAATATTCTACGTATTAGTAAATGAAATGGTACGAAATATTGAAAATTTCTTTTTCATTTTTTTAATCTGTATAATTCTCAATATGATTCTGCGTACATCGTTGACAATTATTTTGACACATGCTTTCGTATACTGTAAGAGGATACGTAATACTCTATTTAGAAAATTGAAGGTCATCTTCATTTCTAAGAAGCTGGTGAAAAAAATATTACAGTGGAACAAAAAGTTTTATAAAAAGTACTATTTCCTTTTCCTTTATTTTGATCAAGACTTTATCTGATTCAAATCAACAAGTACAAAAATAAGTTTTTTTGATCAATAAGTTAGAATTCAAAATTATGCTCTTGACAACGTATTTCGGTGAATTAGACTCCTTTAAATAAAATCTAACTAATTTCTACCTTGCAAGTTTTTAATAAATAACGAGGCTGAGATTGTCACTGGAATGTCACTGAGAGGAATATCTTTGATAACGTATGTGAGTACTGAAACTTTTATTCCAAAATAGAAAATATTACATAAAAGATAATAATAATATGTATAATATAGTTTTTTATTGTGTTGCAAGAAAAATGATAAGCACCAATCGCATGTTACTTATGAAATGTTTAATATATATAATTTATATATACATTGAAATGTTTAATTTATATATATTATATATAATATTGGAATATAATATATAATACTAATATTAATATTATATAATATATAATATTATATAATATTAATATTATATATTATATATATATTAGAATTATATATAATTATATATATTTATTAGAAATGATTAATTTACTATGTTTATCGTTAATATACCACTACCATAACGTACCAAGAATACGTTTGTTTAGAATTGATAGGGAATTATAAGCGATTCGCAAGAATAAATATTTCTTATAAAATATATTCCGTCATTTTAAATTACTATTATTCGATTATTTCGAACTCACCACTAACAATGGAAGTATCTTCTCTTCGAGCATATTTTCATCAAATGTGTCAGGATAGTCGGCGATCATTCTTAGTTTACGTTTCAGAGATTCGAGTTTGTCATTCGTGACGGATCTTCGTCTACGACCTCTGCAATGAAAGAAAGAAACGCGAACTTAAAAAAAAAAAATGTTCAACAATATAAAAAAATATATATACAAGGTAAATCTCGTAACGTGACATCAAATAACTCATAAAATATTTGTTGTACGAAAAAATGTTTCAGATAGAAATTGCATGGCTTTCAGGGTGAAAAATAGTACTGTAATCAGTTTTATGTTATTTTGCTTTTTTTTTCAAGATACGAAGGTCACCTTCAACTTTTTAAATGGAATAGTTAGTATTTCTTCCCGAATTCGGATAAAGCGTTGAATTCTACATAAAAAACTATTACACAAAGTAGGGTCTAAAATACACAGTTACTGAGATTAACAGTCTTTTCTAAATGCAATGTAAAAAAATATTTTTGCTAATATGACAGTAACTATGGCAACTATGGCAAGTCACATTACTTAAATAAAAGATTCAGACAGAGTAGTAATAAGAAAAAAACTAAATAAAATTTAATAAAAATTTTATAAAGCAATTTAATAAAAATAATTCAATAAAATATAAAATACAAACTTTTTTGTCGGAGCAACAGATAATTTGTTCATCAATATTGAAAAAAGGTTTTTAATATTTGTAGTAAACTGTCAATGAATACTACTCGACTATAAAAATGGATTTTTAGTTAAATGCTTTAAAATAATTTGTTTTCATATAATTTTTATCATATCAGATTCTGTTTTATCATTCATCTGTTCCTAAGAACTACATAATTTAGCATGAAAGTTGTAGCATTCGATAAAACAACCTCAAACTATTGAAACTAAATACCACATAATTGAAGGAACTCGAAAGAGTTGACAAGAATATTAGTGATATTGAAAATCTATAATTAAAATTATACGAAGCATCTAAATTTCTCAGATGCTAGGAAAATCTTGGAGAATCTAAAAAAAGGAAAGTATAGACATTGTTGCATTTCAATACATTTTTGCAACAAAGAAATAGAGGCAGCGACGATACGTGACTTGATGTATGAAGAGGCTATAGAGAATGAAATTTGAATGAAAAATTAAAGAGGAACCCGAATCTCAAAGCCGGCGATAGTTGATGAAATTGATATTCAAAGCACGTCGTGTGGTATCTGACAATTAAATAACTTCCAGAGGAGAAAAAACTTTCAACAGTTTCAAAAACTATGTGACCCAACAGCCGAAAAGATACGAGATCCATATGTATTGTAATCAACCAAAATCAATTAATATTTATAATATTTATAAATATTTATTTAAATAAATGAATATTAATATTCAATTTTAATATTTTATATTAATAAATATTTATTTAAATAAATAAATATTGACATCCAATTTTAATATTTTATATTAATAAATATTTATTTAAATAAATAAATATTGACATTCAATTTTAATATTTTATATTAATAAATAATATTTATTTAAATAAACAAATATTGACATTCAATTTTAATATTTTATATTAATAAATAA